GCAGTTTATAAATGTAACCACACCTTTACCTTTTCTAAGAAAGGATTCAACCCTTTTATTTGCAGGTAATGGAAGGTGACCTTGATTCCAGCTGGCTGTTGTTGGGTGAGTGTCAAGAAAGTGCATATGCTATGTGGCCTTGCCGCCCTTACTATTTTGGAGGATGTTCTTGCTAGGTGTTTATATCCTCTGGCATGGCCTACTTTTTTGTCAGTTAGCATGATGGTAAGAAGCTTTGATTTATGGTAAGGAGTTACCTCATTCTACATGAGGTGGTATCATCTTATGTGAGGAATAAGGTGAAGTAGCGGATCAACTCATTTCATTCCGTAAACCAAACAAAAAGTAAGGAGTGAGGTAATGGCCGAATGCTTCATTCCTCCGGCAGAAACACCCTAATAACTTTTTGCTACTTTATTTAATATCTTTCTTCCTCATGGTAGCATAAAATAATTCATATTAGAGCTGTCCATTAGTTTAAGACTTATTAATTGAACAGGATGAGTAGACAGGATTTATAATCAGAAACTATGAGTTGAGGGGTTCAGGACCTATATCCTGATTGGGTAGAAACAATAAAGTAAAAAAATACAAAACTATACATGATACAAATTATATTACTCCAAATTAGGTATTATGTTTATTATAGTGTCGTAAGTCAAACTTCTAAAAGTTTAATTAATTTTTAAGAAAACTATATTAATAGCCTTACACCTTCAAATAAATGCACTATTAAGACATTTCATGGAGAATTTAATAAAACTAATTTGATCTTGGAGATGTTGATGTCTTTTCTATAACTTAGTCAAAATTAGAGAAGTTTGATTGCTTACAAAGCTAAAAATGAACTATCATTTGAAACAGCAGGCAGTAGTAGCAAGAAAATAGGGACTGTATTATCCACATATTACTGCTTACTGGTTTAGCGTCAGATATGCTGTCTGACTCTCTCTCTCTCTCTCTCTCTCTCTCTATATATATATATATATATATATATATATATATAATATCCCTCACCCATGTGGATATTATGCCCAGTGTGTTGATGGCGCCTTACGATCTCGCTGAAGCAGCAGTTCTGGATTCCCTCCTTTCGAAAGCGAAGTTTGAGAATAACAGGTACAGGAAGCCCAAAAGAGGAGCAAAATCATCCTCCGATTATGTTGATTGGATGTAATCTGATCGTGAGGCACAAAGGGGGTGCCAGTTTCAGCCAAGGCATGACGCATAGATGTATTGTAGTTTACAAAATGGAATATGTTTATGTGGACAAACTGCTTTGTTTGTGGCACCGCTGGTAATTTTCATTTCATTTTCTGACAGAGAAGCCGGACCAAGTCAACACTGTACGGTCTGGATTCTGGATTCCCGTAATATTTCTTTCTGCCAGAATTTTACTCCGTCTTTCCTTGGCATAAGAAACTCCTATGATCGACTGGGAGCTCCAGTCAATGTATCGCTATTCCGTGTAAAAAGGAAATTAGTATGTATAGGAGTACTACTAGTTTCTTATCCCAAGTTCTTAGATCATGTTCGGATCCATATGATTAGCTATCAGATGTGTTGTGAAAAAACCAATAATAGATGTGTTACTAGCTAGAAAAAAACCCCAACTAATAGCTTCTCTTTCCATTCCAAATTATCGTTATTTTGGGGTTTTAGATTCATAACTTTTGCTGCAACGCATATAGACATAGCATATATCTCAGTGCATAATGAAAAGTTATGTACCAAGTCGTAAAATCTGGATTTTCTCAAGAAACGTTTTAGGAGACCAAAGCGAAATTATTTTATGAAATCGTTTGACTAGTTGGATGGATTCCGATTCATAGGAAAATATTCTTTAAAAAAATTGTATAAATAGAAGTACGTTCCAAAAATCTATTTTTTAGGCGAAGAACAACTTAAATACAACCCATTTTATTGTTACATTAGAAAAAAGAATTTTATAACTAAAAAAAAAAATTGATAGCACGTCACGGAAGGCAAAAAAAAGGATCAGAATCATTGCGGAAGCTACCCTGCAGCCAATCGAGAGTCAAGGAGCAGAATCGCTGCGAAGCTATCCTCCAGCCAATCCGGGAGCCAAGGTAAAGAACGTGAAACATTTCTCTCCCATTTGGTTTGATGTCGTTTCTCGTTATTCTCAGGACACAACCAAACAGTCCCTTAAAATAAACTGTATTAAACAGCAAAATTCCTCTCACTATGACGGTCCAGAGAATCCAAAATTATCCAGCAGATTGAGCAGGATTCTTACTTAATTCTGCTCAAAATCTAAATTTAAGCGTATCAATATGGCCGACTGACAAATTGGTTACATTATTAAACAGAAAAAAAAATCCAGTCCACGCATCTCGCGTCGCTGGATCTGCTATAAGCTCCCCGCAACGTCGCCCCCCACCGCAGACGAACGCAAAGGCGCAGCCTCCCCAACGGTCATTTCCTCTCTATACAGCCAAACCCCAACCCCAACGGATCGGTCCAGTTCAAAACTCGAATCCTGCGCTCCTTCCCCAAACCCCACCCCACGTCTCTCATGTCTCATCCTCGCAAGCCTCCCCGATCCCCCAGCTCAACGAGATCCGGCGAGCGAATCCTCACCTCTTCCCCGACCACCAGGTCGCAGCGATGGAGCCGGATCCGGTCGCCGCGGCGGGGCGTCTTCCTCGCCGCCGCCGCCGCCCTCCGACCACCATATCGCAGCGATGGAGTCGGATCCGGCCGCCGCGGGGCATCCTCCTCGCCGCCGCCCTCCGACCACCAGATCGCAGCGATGGAGTCGGATCCGGTCGCCCGCAGGGGCGTCCTCCTCCTCCCGCCGCCCTCACCAGCGCCAGCCACGTCCCCGCCGTCCTCACCAGCGCCGGCCGTGTCCCCGCCGCGGCAAACGCGAGGTACTGTTTCTTAGTTCTCAGGCGAGGAGTAGGGTTCCTTTATTATTGGGGTGTACCCGGTTGGTGTGGCGTGCGTCTTCGCCTCACACGGCCTGGTGTTTGCTTGCCAGATGACGATGAGCAGGGAGCGGTGGAGTGCGCGGATCCCAGGGGAGACCTGAATCCCGCGCCACCGCTGTTGCCTCAGCAGGATACAGGTTCGGTCTCTTCGTCTAGACGCAAGCAGCAGATGGTCAGTAGGGTTTGCTGCGTCCCTCTCACGGTGGGGAAATTGTTCGCAGTTGAGGACGCCACGGTGGGCAGCGATGTCGAGCAGGAGGAGGCAAAGAAGGAGGCGATGGCAGGAGCAGGGGAGGCTCTCCGCAGCTTCATGGAGGTGAGAGCTCCTTTGGATGCCAATTCGTGGCCGTGGCGATTTGGAATTCTCTAGATTCCTGCTCGTGCTTATCGTAGATGTACAAATATCTGACCAACCAGAGAAATTGAATTAGAAAAATCTTAAAGGCACATGAAACCGAGCAGCAAAATGTTGATTTCTTCTTTCTCTATTCGCAATGATGGTTGAACTTTGTTTCAAGGGCAAAGATGATAGGGTTGTTCGCTTCTGATTACATTGTGTCTTTTCTTCAGGAGTTTGGGGATCATGGAGGACTCTATTATCTTGTCACCGCGGCTGAAGGAGATCAGTACTCCTGACCGCCCAGCTGCCCTCCGCTTCCTAGGTACACACAACTATCATACACATGCTTTGCTCAAGTATTTGAAGTATTTTGATTCCTGTGGCTATAATTATTTGTGGTGTTTGGTCTTTATTTGTGTATAGGGGAGAAGTATAACAACCTCATGGAGAGATACAAGAAGCAGGTTGTCAAGTGCTCTGAGGAGTGTGAGCCCAGATATAATGGTCTGAAGAAGAAGTACACAGACGAGTGTGCAGCAGAGGCGGCGTCTGTACAATGAGCTTATTGAGCTAAGAGGTAACATTAGGGTGTTCTGCAGATGCAGACCTCTGAGCTCCGATGAGGTCACCCGTGGGTGTTCATCTGTGGTTGAGATTGACCCAGCACAGGAGACCGAGCTGCAGTTTGTCCCTAATGAAAAAGAAAGGAAGCCCTTTAAGTTCGACCATGTTTTTGGCCCAGAGGATGACCAAGGTATAATTGACTGAAACTGGACCTAGCTGACTTGTCAAGTATGCTATTAGTATACATGTTTAAGTAGTCGTACTCCAACCTTTTTGTGCAGAGGCCGTGTTTTCAGAAACAGTGCCCGTTGTTAGATCAGTGATGGATGGTTTCAACGTATGCATCTTTGCATATGGGCAAACAGGGACCGGGAAAACTTTCACAATGGAAGGGATTCCAGAAAATAGGGGTGTAAATTATAGGGCTTTGGAAGAACTGTTCAGAATGTCAGAAAAAAGAAGTGCATCTGTTACATACACATTTTCTGTAAGCATCTTGGAAGTTTACAACGAAAAGATCAGAGATCTTCTTGATGAGAGCAATGATCAATCAAAAAGGTACAATTCCTTCCTTTCTCTTTTTTGGCGAGAAAAGATCCATTGCTTAAACATGTTATCTTGTTGCAATTCAAGGTTGGATATTAAGCAAGATGCTGATGGAACACAAGAAGTTCATGGTTTAGTTGAGGCTCCAGTTTATAATATAGATGGTGTTTGGGAGAAACTGAAGTTTGGTGCTCAAAATAGATCTGTTGGCTCAACCAATGCTAATGAACTCAGCAGCCGCTCTCACAGGTGAGGGCTTTGGTGATCACTATCGTTTAGATTCAGATTTTGTCAATTATCATTACTATAGCACTGAGATAAAACATTTTGCCTCTTGCAATCTATTTGCAGTTTGGTTAGGGTCACTGTTAGGAGCGAGAATTTGGTGACATGTCAGAGGAGCAGAAGCCACATGTGGCTGGTTGATCTTGCTGGAAGTGAGAGAATAGCTAAAACTGGGGTAGAAGGAGATAGGCTGAAAGAATCACAGTTCATCAACAAATCACTATCTGCCTTGGGTGATGTTATATCTGCTCTTGCCTCAAAAAATTCCCATATTCCATACAGGTTAGTCCTCCTATTCACATACTAAAGGTATCTACTTTGCTTAGCTGCTTAAATTATCTTGGTCTTACCACCTCCATTTCTTTTTGCTGTCAACTAGGAATTCCAAGTTGACTCATTTGCTCAAAGCTCTTTAGGTAAGCTTTCTCCTTGTACTACTCACGTGACAATTGCACTGTTCTTTTTTAGCAAACTGATGAAGTTTCATATCCTATTGATTTCATTAGTGTACTAGAATGTACCAAAAAAAATGACAAGGTGATGAACTTGCTTATTCAACATTTTTACAAAGCGGAGATTGCAAGACGCTAATGTTCGTGCAGATAAGTCCAAGCTCTATGGATTCAGGAGAAACTCTCAGTTCACTCAATTTTGCGAGTAGAGTCCGGTCAGTAGAACACGGCCCTGCTCGTAAGCAAGTTGATCCAGCGGAAACTTTGAAGTTCAAGCAGATGGTAATTTGACTCTCCAATCACACTGAGTAGTTATGACACAATATAGTTTGGTTATATTAACTATATAAAATCTATTTCAGACTGAAAAACTTCGGCATGAGGAAAAGGAAAATGCACAGCTGAATCAACGCTTGCAGCTGATGCAGCTCAAGCATGCTTCTCGTGAGAATGTCTTCAGGACACTAAATGAAAAGGTGAGTCTCATTATATTGATTTGGTTGGATCCTACTGGATACCTACTGTCATGGAATCAAATGTTAACACAAAAAATGTTTTGCAACAGGTGAAGGATGCTGAACAAGCATGCAGAAATTATCAGCAACGGGTAAGTAGTAGGAGTCAGTTATTTCTAGTTCCTAAAGACTGGTCCCCTATGTGTATTCTAACCTGTGCTCATGAAATGTACTCCTCTGTACAGATTAGAGAGCTGGAAAATGAATTAGGTAATGAGAAGAGGGCTTCTAGGGATTCTGCTAGATCCTCGAGGCCGCCACTTGTTCCACTGAGACAGAGACAATCTCAGGAAGGAATAACAGCTACGTACCACCTTCAGGCCCTTCTAGATGGAGGCTCAAAGCCCCCACAATTAACAACAAAGAGAACATTCCTGTCGCGATGAATAAACCAAATCCTGTGGATGATCCTAATAAGGCTCTTGGCAGAGCGAGGCGCGTTGCACTTACCCCGGTGATGCGACATGTCCCCATCCAGCCCAAGAGGCGATCTTCGATGGCAATACTACCTTCTGTGAGGGAGCATTTTTGTGTGCTAAACGAGAAGAGAGGAGGCTCTCAACTGCCAAGAGGATCAGTTGCAACATTTGGTGTGAATTTGGTTCCAGCAACACCCCTAGCAGGACATGGTGGACCTGTTTATGCTACCCCAGATGGAGCAAAGTACAGGAAATTTGATTTGGGAAGCAGCAGCAAGTTCACAAGCCCTCCTCCAAATGTGGGCATGTGGAACAAGGTCACACCGCAGCAGAAGCTGGGAATGGCACCGGCAGGAGGTCCTGCAAACGCAGCGAAGCTGTGCTTCAGCATCCAGAAAAGAGTTACGCCTCCACGTGTTCGGCCAACTTCTGGTTTGGGCATCTTCGACCCAGCTCTGCGTGAGAATATGGCTGTGGGGATAGCCGGCAAAGCGCGGCGGGTGCTCAACGCCAAGAGAAGACAATCTGTCATCTAAGTCTGGAAGCGAAGGTACAGCAAATGTTTGGACGTTCAAACGGAGCTGCAGTGTGGTGAGAATGATGGTGCCTTAAGCGTGTTCTTAGTGAAACCGTGTTAGGACAGAAGATGTTCTTTTCAGCATCTTTAAATTTAAATGGATTCTGCTTAGTTCTTACTGGTTGATAAGAAAGCTATGTTAAAATTGTTCATGGATGTCGTTGATTGTATTTGTTCGTTACTAAGAAAGCTATGTTACCATCGTTCATGGAAGTCGTTGATTGTATTTGCTCGTTACTATGAATCGCTTGCTTTACAACTCTTGTGCAGTTTTAAATCATGTTCATGGAACGCCCAGATTCTGCCGCCATCATAATGTTTCTTAGTGATCGATCACAGGTCTGGCAATCACATTCTTGATGACTTCCAATTAACATAAACAGCAAGCACTGAACCGAACGTGGCCAGACCCCAGTTATGTTTTCAAACTGCAGAACAATTGAACAGCGCTACTAACCAGAACAGCCCTACTAACCAGAACAATTGAACAACTTACATGTCAAATAAAAGAATTATCAGTAGTACTTGGACCACGCACTTTTTCAAAACTATCTGCAAATATCAGATTTACCAGCTACAACCATGGACAGCCTGACTGCTGTACCTTTTCCCGCACGAGCTCGTGTTTGCAAGTCTCATCGGCACTGCTGTTACAAATCAAGTGTTTAGTCACGTTGGCTGCTTGGACCTGAATTGGTCTCTCCAAAACAAGAACCAGTGCTTCCTTCTCCAACTGCAAGCAGTAGCTTCCGAAAGTCTCTATATCCACTTTGAGCCTGAAGTCCAGACTGAACAACAAATCCAGCTCAAGCATATTCATCTCTCTTGTGGTAATTCCTCCAACTCTCCCGTAGTATGCATTGTTGAAAAACCTGCAAATAAAATGTATCCAAAACAGTTACTGGAAAACTTTCTTCAGTTTATCTTCGTTATGGAATAAACAAAACCTTGATCAATATCAGCTTTCTTTTTACTTGAAGTGTGGTTATAAGTTTATTTTCCACAGTCAGGGTGGAATTCACTTACTAATCTGGGGCATATTGGCCACCAACACCTGGCCCTCATTACTATCCTTAAATTCCATCATAAGCTATCACCTGTTACAACTAGTGGTTTAACAAAAAAAGTTACTACTAATTGACTGATGCAGTCCAATTAAGTAGTGCTTTAACAAAAAAGGTACTACGACAAACATGACCCCCCGGAAAATAAAAAATTGACAAATAACTGAGAAAACAAGTCTAGCATTTAGAGATAAAGAGGCTTCTTAATTTTGTATAATATAAAGAAAATTGCTTCCATACCAAAGAAGATAGCTGACCACAAACCATGTAAAGTTGTTCCGGATGGTAAAAGATCATATTTGGACATTTCCTAGTGATGCTAGTTTATTGAGCCAGCTAAGGTTTGAGTTTGCATCTATGGTCAGTATCATTACTGAAGACCTGATATCAGTTTATGGCTAACAGTATGTAAGATCATACTTTCATACAAAGTACATATGTGAAAATGTAAATGTAAAGCTGTTATGGTGGGTCCTTACGCATCATCTATGAATTTGCTAGCAACAACAACACTTGCAATAAGCAAGCGATGGACACTAAATGACGTCATGTAAATGTTTGGTTGCCGTAGATATCTCTCCATGTAGATAAGTCCCAACACAAAGCAAGATGGGCTGCACTTTGCATACTTGAAAATGCGTTCTGCATAGAGCTTTATACTAAGTTCAGGCACCCTCTGACCATGAAAGATAGTGGTTGACTCCTTTATTTTACTGGAATCTAGTAACTCTTCATTCTGCTGAACCTTCTTGTCAAGATACGCTGAGAGAAGCAGCAGAACCTTTGGAAATTCAGCATCATCTTTCTGTGAGTGGGATACTGTCAAACCCAAGGACAAGTAGCTCTCCAGTTCATCACCAGCGGCAGTTGTAGGTGACTCCATTGTCATAGGCAAACATTAGTGCTGTAAAGACAAAGCAATTCGTATTCAACAAATGTTCTGTTGATGGAAGGGGCAATATAGGTAAAAACCTTAGATACTGATGCATATATTACAACAACTAAATTTGGAAAGAGACTTTGATATCCAAGCACACACAAAAGCTTCCCATAAGATGCAGGGTCAAATGTCAAATCCATGTGTTTTGCGACAACATGGTTACAAATATGTTGCTGTGAGCAGGAACATGGGATACTGCAATTTTGTTCTCTTTATGTCCGATTTACTTGTAACGCCATTGTGAAGTCTAGTTGTTCTCTATGAATGCATGTGTGCCTCATACAGACAAATAATAACTTCATGAGGTTGGTCTCAGCACTGCCAAGTAACATGAAAGCATTGCGCGCATGGTTCTCTACCGCCCTGAGCCGAACAATGGGCTTTCATTCCCTCACATGAAACAAGAAACGTAAAGGCAAATATAGTTCCAAATATACAGAAACCCATCTCCTGTTTTGGCATCATCTACCATTCCGAAGAATATCTGGCCAACTGGCCTCCTTTATTTCAAAATCTTTATATATATATATATATATATATATATATATATATATATATATATATATATATATATATATATATATATATATATATATATATATATATATCACAGGGAACAGCAAAAGGCTGCTGAGATGCACAAACCTCACACCATTTCCTGTAAAAAGGTCGCACCACACGACCATCAAATCTAGAGTACTGAGCAATCCCGTCGCTTTTGCGCACCTAGATTAGATTTTGTCGGCATCGACACCGAATGCACAAACCTTGCACGAAATTAGGGGAACAGAGACCACAGCGGGTCGTACCTGAGCAGTTGCCAGAATCTTAACCCAAATCGCCACGATTGGAGCAAGTGAAAGCCCCCTCCGCCGCTAGCTAACTAGCACCTTCTGTAGCTAGAGATCTAAACCAGAGAGAGAGAGAGAGAGAGAGAGAGAGAGAGAGAGAGAGATTTCCTTACATAGTGAGTGCTCTAGCAGTGTAGCTGTGTCTCGGGAGAAAGCATCCGGGCTTCAGGTCCAACTCCCCGCCACCGTCGCCGCTGTCCTTTCCCCCACAAGGAGCAGGCGAGCAGCAGCCGCTTCCCTCTCTCTAGAGAGAGAGAGAGAGAGGGGTATGAGAAGGGCCACTCACTCACTGTTCAGCACAGAGGGCATTATCACATGATAATGATATGGCACACAACAATTATGTGCCTGTTTGTAGCTTGTCTCTTAAGACTAACAAAAGCCATCTTAACTAAAACTTACTTATTACGTGTAATAATTACATACAATAGGTAATAAGTAGTGCTTAGAGAAGCCGGGACAAGTAGTGGCAATCCATGGGTACGTGACGAAGCAGTCGAGCTTCAAAGCGGTGCAGTCGCTTTCGTTTCATTTGGTTCTTCCTTATCCGTTGCAGCAAAATATTCGTGTCGGTTTCCACCTCGTCCAAGATATTCGTGTCGGTGCAAGGAATCCGGACTCTGAGAGAGAGAAAAGGGCAAAAGGTAAAGCATTTATATATGCCATCCTCCCACAACTCGCTGCTTCGTGACGATGTTGCTGTAGTTGCAATACAGATACATAAATATTTAAGTGAAGAACATATTTAAGTTTGACTAGCAAATATGTTTGGGCCTGTTCGCTTGTCTGAATTCTGGAGGAATTTGGATGATTTGGAGAAATACTGGAGAAATTTGTGAGAGAAAAAATCATTAGGATGAAAAAATAAGCGGATCAACCGGGTTAAGAAACCTTGAACGGGGCCTTTGTGTGTTATAATAGGACTCAATACATATAGTAGTAGGGTTTCATATCATCGGTAGATACGAGTTGTTCGGACTCGTATGAGTGAGGGTGTGACTTAATATGCAGTGGAATCGGACTCAGATTTGTTATTGCTAGACGAGAGTTATTCTAACTCATACTCCCTCCGTATCGGAAAAAGTAGTCGTTCTCATGACCGACGTCATTTGCGCAAAGGAAGTCGTTTTTTCTTCGCTAACCTTGTTTTGGACGTGAATACCCTGACCCTTGGTTAACGGGCTCATTTATTTAGTTACCAGAGTAAATCACGCCGTGGTCCCTCCGCTTCTCTCCTTGCTTGCTCGCTCGCACGCACACCGCGCAAAATCAAAATTCGCGGCATGCAAGCATCAGCCGCAGCAAGCTGCATGCATAGACGAAGATCCAAAATTGGCGGCATGCAAGCATCTGCGCACAAAAATCGCGCCGCTAAGGAGATGCGTCCGTGCAAAAATCTGCCGCCAGAGCCCAAACGAAAGCCGTAAATCTTGCTCCAGGAGCCCAAACGGGCGAGCCATGATCCAAAATTCAGCACAAAACATCTCACGCAAAAATCTCGCCCTTGAGAGATGCATCCGTGCAAAAATTGTGCGAGCAGGCCATACAAAAAATGTGCACGCCAGGGCATCGAACCCAGGACCTCATGACACTTGCCTCGCTGCGCTATTTTTGAACTGTGGTTGTTTTTCGTATGGAATGCACCCGCAGCCGTATTTAATAGGGGTAGACAGAGGAAAATACCCCTTAATTAATGACTCCTTGGTAAGTACAATCATATCCTAAACGACTTCTAAATCCGATATGGAGGGAGTATAAGTTATGGGTCTGGATCACATAGAGGTGGACAAAAAAATGTTTGTGCACAAATTTTGCATTTGGAATCGGCTTTTGCGCTAGGCTCAAACTTGAGGGACGGGGCCTTTTATTTTGTGTTTTGCTTGCTTTTTTTAATTGACTTCCGCCTTTTAAAAAAATAATATATTACTAGCAAATATCTTCCTATGTCTACTGTTCTTGCTATAACTTAGTACTCCTCCATTCTAAATTATAAGGCGTTTTAGTTTTCTACATATATTGCTTTTAGTATGTATCTCAGACATAGCGTGTATCTATGTGCATAGCAAAAGCTATGTATTTAAAAAAGTCAAAACGTCTTATAATTTGGGACAGGTTGAGTATATCTTTCTCCTTTTCTCTCCCCTTGCGGTCAGAGCGATTTATCTATGTTCATGTTCATGACTAACGTCCATTCAATTTTCTCACTTTTTTCTTTTATTTTTTTTCTCTATCGCATTTTATTTTCTCACTTCTTTTTTCTCCTTTCATTTTTCTCCTGTCTTTTTTTTTTTCCTTTTTTTTATTATATGTTTGAGAAATTTGATCAAAACAAATTACATAAAAACTATGTTAGATAAACAATATGTATATTTTTCAAAAGAGGTTCGAAAACAATAATTTACGTGTACAAGTTATGATATTCATATAATTTGTTATGTAAGTAAAGTTGTATTTATAAAAGTTATGTTGAAAAATTGTTAAGAATAAGTTTGCCTTATGAACAAAAGTTAGACTTCAAAAGTTATATAAAAATATTATCATGACAAGTTATCTATAAAGTATATTAAAAAAACATATTAACTAAGTTGTTAATAAGTTATGTCTCGTAAAATATTATACCTAAAAATTAGGTGTGCAGCTTTGTAACTTTCTAAAAATGAAGACTTATAGAAATATTTTTTAAAGGAAAAGTTGCCGGATTAGCTAAGGTTCACTAGATTCTGTTCCTGCGATGATTAGTGACTCTGCCTCAGACTTTGACCAAACCTTATCAGCAAATATCATGCATCTAATATCATCTGCTCTTTTCGCCCCTAAATAACTGTGGCTTTTGGTTTCCATACCCCCCTAAGTTTAACTAGATTTGTAAAAAATACTTACAACATTTATATCTCAAAATAAATTTATTATAAAAATAGATTCGACGATCCATCTAATGATATTAATTTTGTACCATAAATACTAATAATTTTTTAGATGCATTTAGTCAGTTATTTCTCGAGAAACAAAAACGATAGTTATTTAGGACGAAGGGAGTATGATGTTACATAGTTGTCTCGGTATATCCAATCGGTAGTTCCACACTAGGAGATTAACGGGCAGCTTTATCACTACAGGGGCTAATTTCTAACTTGCTCAAGCTTCATACTTTAAACAGATGCGGGCATACACTGAACTGTGAACTGGAAACAAACACTAAACTCAGAAACAATGCTGAGACCGACGAATTACGGCCAGGACCATCCAACTACAGCCTATCCCAGTGTAAGCTAGTCGATGCATGACTTTGGTCATATCCTCTACTAAATTTTAGAAAAGTTTGTTACATTGCTGATGTCAACTTTCAAGGACCCGGCCACCATGTACCCACAATAGATACCATCGAACGCTCAGCGCCAGAAACTTTACTGTACAGGATCTCCAGCAACTTTGGTCAGATGAAGGCGTCGGTGTCAATGAATTGGGACTAAAATAAAGTCTGAGTTCCTGTCGCTTGAACTCGGACTTCTTGATGAACTCAATGCCTTGGTTAGGAAATTGCGGAGCTCTGGAATGACACGCTGGATCAGCTGTGGAGAACTGCATGCCAAGATTGCGTGTTAATATTTGAGTTACTTGAAATCGTATTGGTCTCAGATCAAAGGTTATTAGCAAGAGAAGGTACCCAGCTCTGGTGCAGATCTTGTTAAAATGTTCCAGAATGTACAAGATGCATGTATGTCTTAGTGACACGGCATGAAAGGCATCGGACAAGTCATACATGTCAGATACGTTATCTAGATTCACATCCTACAAGGCAAATAATGGCATTCAAATTAATATCTAATATGCGGTTTAAACAAGGAATAGAGAGTAGTTTTCTAGTCACCTTCGCAATAGTATATTCACATAGGCGTTTGAGGCCTTCTAAGAGATACTGATCAGCAGCTCTAAGAAGATCCTGTGCAATTTCACTGGTAACCTGCACTGACCCTGTATAGATAAATCTGCAAAACCAAAGAGGGTTTCAGACTTTAATCCAGCATACAGTGGCATAAACATACAGTGGCATAAAAAAGAAAAGAGGAAAAATAGTTACAGATTCATCAACAG